CAGGTATTGAGCAGTGTGTCTCTCCTTCGTCCTTCTTCGCATAGTTTGAAGATCATTCAGCAATGCAGGGAGGTCCATTGCTGGTTTTTGTTTGTCGAAGACGTCCAGAGCCCTTCCCTGCTCAAGGCCTACGAGAGCTTTCTTTCTTCCGATGAGCGCGACCGAGTTTATAGCGTGGATTCCGAGCGCTTGCGAAAGGAGCGTCTCCTCACTCGTGCTTTGGTGCGTACCACGCTCGCTAGATGTAAGATCAACCATGCCTTTGCCTCTAAATTCTCGTGTATCAATCTCTTTTGAGTTTATCTTTTCCTCGCAGATTCCGGTGGTACGATCGCACCAGGGTCGCTCAAGTTTTCAAAGAACGAGTTTGGCAAGCCTGAGGTCCGGAGTTCTTGACAGTTTTGTATCCACTCTAATTTTTCTTTCATTTTCCCAGCTTGTCGGCACGAATGGTCTATGTTTCAGCTTGTCACACACAAGCTCGCTGATATCATGCGCGGTTACTACTCATTCCGAGGTGATAAGTTTCCATAGATTTCTTTGCCTGTAAGTCTTGTTTGAGTTGCGCAGCTAGGAGTTGATGTGGAAGACAAGCGTCGGGTTTTTGGAAGCAATCTCATGCGCCTGGCCAGGCGATGGCTCTCAGACAAGGAAGTGTCATGGCTGCAAGGCTTCGCGTCTTCCTCTAGTGACGAGCAACGCCGTCGTTTCATTCAGCTATGGACGCTCAAAGTCACACAGTTTTCTCGGCTCCATCACTCTGACTGAGATTCCGTTCTTACCAGGAAGCCTACGTCAAGGCTCTCGGGAGAGGCATTAGCGGCGCACCACTGAGCAACTTCTCGTTCGGATTTGATGCAAGCTTTCCCGGAACGGAAGCGATCTCAATGCAGCTACACCAGCACCCAGAGGTGTGATTTCTAGGATGGATCCAGCAAGTAAAAGAACTCTTTTGCCTGTGACGCAGGCACAGACGATCTCGCTCGAGTCGGAAGAGAGTCCCTGGAGATGGCAGTTCTTGCTGTTCGAGCCATCGCAGCATCACTACGCTTCCATTTGCGCACAGAGGCTCGAGGGCGGTGATGCAAACTCCAGAGATTTCAAGTTTTGGAGGACTGTTCCACTCGTCCGGGACGAAGCTCTTGGGGATGATGCGGTAGCTCTCGCTTGGAGCTCTCTAGCGCTACTTTGATAGCTCTAGAAGAATGTTTTTGGTTAAAATGTTATAACTTTAGGGTTCTTGGCAATGAATGCCGCGGTATTGCTTCGCGGCGGGGCGCTGCTACAGGGAGGGCGGCATCACAGGATCGCATGGAAGAAGAGGAGGAGGCGGCGGCCTCCAGGACTGTGGGCCGACGCTCATCGCAGCTCTCAAGGCTTGCGGCCGCGCGCGCGACTTTGACACGGGTAAGAAGCTCCACTTGGAGCACCACAGCCACGGCGACATCTTCGTGGAGACATCGCTCGTCGCAATGTACGCCAGATGCGGCAGCATGGCCGACGCCCGGCGCGTCTTCGATGCGATGCGCCGCCACAACGCCGTCTCGTGGACCGCGCTTATCGCGGGCTACGCCGAGAACCGCGACCCCGACTCCGCCATCGCCGCCTTCCATGCGATGCTCGCCTCCGGATGTGAGGCCGACGCCACCGCATTCGTGGCAGCGGTCGCGGCTCTCTCCTCCAAGATCGAGGGCGAAAGCCTTCGCGCCGCGCGGCAGCTGCTTCCATTGCAAGGAGGCACGCAAATGCCGTCACTAGGCATCTGCGCTAGCGATGGTGTTCCAGAAAACCACGTCTCCAGGAAGATCGATCTGGGCTTGCTTGACGCGGGCATGGCGATCCACTGCCGGGCCCGGCGCCACGAATCGGACATCTTCGTCGCCAGCGCGTTGCTCGACATGTACTCGAAGCTCAGCAGTGTCGAGGACGCGCGCATTGTCTTCGACCGGATGCCTCGCCACGACGTGGTGTCGTGGACCACCTTGATCCTGGCCTACGTCGAGAATGGCGACGATGATCTCGCGCTGGAGCTCTTCGACTCAATGCCGCCCGGGTGTGATCCCGACGCGCGGACCTTCGTGGCGGCGATCATGGCTAGCGGGAACCTGGCTTCGCTCGAGGACGCGGTGGACGTCGATGGTGGCAAGATGGTCAAGCCCAAGAGCCTGGAACGCTGCCGAGCTATCCATTCCCTCGCTGCGGAGAAGGGCTGCGCGGAAGATCTCTTCGTGGCGAGCAAGCTCGTGGATGCGTACTCCAAGAGCGGCGCCGCGGAGGAGGCGTGGATGGTCTTCCAGGCCATGCCTCGCCACGACCTTGTCGCCTTGAACTCGATGGTGCTGGGACTCGCCGAGAATGGAGAGGGCGATCGAGCTCTCGGCTGCTTCCACTGCTTGGAGCAGTGCCTGGAGCCGGACGCCCGCAGCTTCACTGCCGCCATCGCCGGCATCGCGAGCACAGCGGCGAAAGAGCCCGGCCGGGAGGTCGAGGGGAGGGTGGTGAAGCTGGAGTCCCTGGGGAAGGCGATGGAGATCCACGCTCGAGCCGAGAAGAAAGGGTGGTGCCGCTCGGACGTGTTCTTGTTGAACAGTTTGATCGGTATGTATGCCAAGTGTGGGAGTATGGTCGATTCTCAGCGCGTGTTTGACAGGATGCCCGCTCGCACCGCCGTCTCGTGGTCCAGCTTGATCCTCGGCTACGTCGAGAACGGCGACGACGATCTCGCGCTGGAGCTCTTCGACCGGATGAAGCGATCTCCTCAGTCGCCATCGCCGCCGTGCGCGAGAGCTTACGTCGCGGCGCTCATGGCGTGCTCGAGCTTGGCGGCGCTCGAGGCCGGGAGAGCGCTCCACCGCGAGGCTTCCATGCTGGGATTCACCGCGGACACGTACCTGGCAGTGACGCTGGTGGATTTCTATGGCAAGTGCGGCAGCATGGAGGAGGCCGAGAAAGTCTTTCGATCGATGGACGAGAGGAGGAAGAACAAGGTGGCGTGGAGCGCTCTCCTTGCGGGATACAGCCGCCAGGGTGATGCTGGGAGAGTGTTTGCCACCTTCGAGGAGATGCGAGGCTCCGGCGTGGAGCCGTGCGCGGTTGCGTTCGTATCTCTCCTCGCCGCGTGCAGCCACGCCGGGCTGGTCGATCGCGGCCGGGAGATCTTCTCGGCGATGGTGGAGCGCTACCGCATCGCGCCGCTGGCGGAGCATTACAACTGCATGGTGGACATGCTGGGCCGCGCGAATCTCCTGGACGAGGCGCTGGCGGTGGCCACCGGATCGTCATTTGTAGCGAATGCCGCGACGTGGAAGATCGTCCTGGGAGCTTGCCACAAATGGAAGAACTTGGCGATCGCGAGGGTGGCGTTTGAGGCGCTGGTGGCGATGGATCCTAGACTGGATGTGGCGTACGTGGTGATGGCCAGCGTTCTTGGGAGCGCTGGGCTGTGGGAAGAGCAGGCTAGAGTTCTCGAGCGGCGGGGCAAGGCCGGGACTTGGAAGAAGGCCGGGCAGAGCTGGTGGGTGTGTCCCAGATCGGGAATTGTTCACAAGTTCCGGGCGGGGGACGCGAATCACCACCCGCAGGGAGACGCCATCGCCGCCAAGATTAAGGAGCTCTTGGGCGTGATGAAGGAGAGGCATGGATACGTCGCGGACATGGGGTGTGTGACGCACAACATCGCGGAGGTTGAGAAGGAGGGGACGCTGTGCGGGCATAGCGAGCGCCTGGCCATCGCGTGCGCGATCGTCAACACTCCGGCCAGGGAATCGGTGAGGGTTGTCAAGAATTTGCGAGTTTGCGAGGATTGCCACAGGGCCACCGCGATCATCTCCCGGATCGAGGAGAGGGTGATTGTTTGCCGGGACACGAGCCGGTTCCATGTCTTTGAGAGTGGGGAGTGTTCTTGCAAGAACTTTTGGTGACGATCTTGGGCGCGAAACTTGTGTATAGTTCAAGGGACTGCGCGATATATGCCCACAAACACAAGCAAGCAGTTCAGATCAAGAGTTTTGAGACTGATCCACTTGGGTGCTTGATACACATCTGGATCAGAGTAAAGTAAGAAATGTTTTGCATAAACCATGAACATTATTGAAGAAAGGGAGCAGCTCATACAATGGTGGTAAACACCACAAAGACGCTCCTCTACTGGACCAGAATTTTACTTAGATGACAAATTAATTACTCAAATGGTTTAACTCTTATTTAATATAAGCATAAGTACAAAGGGAACAAGTTTTAATGTGATGAGAGAATCCATCCAGTGGATTCGAGAAAATCGGGCACCGCTCGAAGAGGATGCCTTTTGGCCGGTACTCTTCCATTATGAAGCAAAGAAATTCAGGCTAGAGCCGTCCATGTCCGAGGACCCAGAGAATATCGATGCTCTGCGCCTTCAAACACATTTTATTGTTTAGTTAGTTTATTGCAATTATATTCTATATGCCGAACTTATTATTGATTTCAATATTAATATTGTTTGTTAAAGAATATTGATTAATGAAGAGAAAAACATTTTTGCATTTTCTAAAATATTTCAGCTATTTTTATCTAATTTAAATTATTTTCAATATTATTTTCAATAGTTTAATATCAGTACCTACTGTTTGTTTGCTAATGCTAATTTGTTTTAACACGATATTAATTCATCATATTGAATATGAACATTTTGCCTTTTACATCTAAAATTAGTTTAAGTCTGATGAAATATTACTCTTTTGAAATTTATCAATATTCAAATTTACATATGTTCAATAAAATCAATAAAATATCTAACATTGAATTTAAAATTATATTTGAAAAATTAACATTTCATATTGGGAGCTGATGTGAGTAGAGAACCATTAAATATAATTAAAATTTCTTTAAATAGTATGAAATTAGCCCAATTATAATTTCTGAATAGTTGAGTATAAAGTTTTATATATATAAAAGATGGACTCTCTTATTAATTTTTAATGTTAATTATTTAAATAAAAACTGCCAATCTCCAAGCAATACCCTTTAAAAGTGACTAGTCAACCTTGTAGTTAATATTAATGAATATGGAGTATCGATCACTACTTTGAAGTACATTTTAAAATTCAATCCGTTCTATGACTTGAAGGGGGAGTATTCTTTGAGGGATAGCGCAATGCCTTCCATGGATCCCAGCGTCGCGGCCATGGACACGAGCAAGCAGCCCAAATCAAGGGCCTTAAGACCGATCCACTTTGGCGACCACCTCACGATGCTTCTCTGCTTAATATACATCTCGATTGGGAAGTAGACGGTGAGCGGCCAAAACGAGATCGCGCCAAGGAGGCCCAGGACGTCGTTGAAGAAGGGGAGCAGCATCGACACGATGGTGGTGACCACCACAAAAGCGCTCCTCCAGACAAGCGTGAGCAGCGTGAATTTGTAACAGCCCAGGAGAGGGATCGGGATCCTAAAGTAGTGGCTGACAAACTTGTTCTTTGGCCACCGTGATCGCGCATGGCCTTCGACATAGGCGAACACTGGCTGGCAATAGACCTGTGAAGTGAAAGAGACACGACAGATAAGAACGACAAGATGGAAATTTTTTGAGAAGATGGATGATCAAAGATGGGTTTTGATTTACCGACTTGGTACGCTCCTACAAGGTGGATGACGATGCAAGCGTTTGCGAAATCGATGAGCCAGAAGGGCTCGTAGAAGCCAAAGCCCGTGAGAAGATTTCCAGGAGCATTGTTTCCAAAGGCCGCGTAGCCAAAGCACCCCACCGACATGTAAAACGCGGTGGTGGTGACGACTCCCACCAGCGTCGCCTTCTTCATGGTCTTGTTCTCAGCTGGTGGAGATTTTAATGTATCCTACACACACAAGGAAAAAAAAAGTAATTCTTTTTCAGTAAAAAGCGTGACTTTCTACCTGTATTTCGATGAGGATCATGGAAAAAGAGTACGCAAACGCGACATTTCCCAGCGACTGGAAGACTTGCCAGATCTTTCGCGTTTGCGAAAGTCCTCCCATTCCAATGCGGACTCCGGTGGCTGTTCCGTATGAGTGCCCCGGCTCTGCAAAAAAACACCTCTCTCGCGTGAGCACATAAGCTGGAAAAGAGAGCGAGAAAGCCTTTACACATGTATGTATTGGTTACCGAAAGTTCGCGCCATCCCGAGGCCAAGCCCAATGAAGGAGTAGGCGAAGGACATGATAGCTGCGGCAATGGACAGCCACCATATTCGATCAAAATCCGGGATTTGTGACAGCAAAATCTGCACCGCTCCAAACACCACCATGTACGGGTAATCCGAGGCGAAGCACGGACCATCGTGTCCTTGGCGATGGAAGCAATCTGATCGACTTATCGCCCTGCAAGAACAGAGAACCAAAAGAACTTAGAAATCATAGTTTTTAGCTTTCGACAAGAACTTACACCATGCTAATCGACGCAGTGATTGTGTAGCCGATTGCTGTTCCAACCAAGTTGGTGTACTGGACAATGCCGCAAATCCAAACCTTTGCACCCCCTGGACAAGATAAATCACGCTCAGTTGAAGAACTCGAGTGCTCTAGCAATAACGTAAAGGAAAAAAGAGAGATTCACCTAGAGTGACTGCCACCGCATCTTGGTACGTGTGATTCCGCTTCCCTGTGACTGGATCGGGGCTGCGATAGCAATCCGCGAGGAGGATGGAGGTGTAATACGTGACAAATGCGAATGCGAGCAGGACGGGGGGTCCGACTGCCCAGCCAAGCTGAGCCATGCTCCACGCCAGTGACAAAACTCCAGAGCCGATCACTGCTGTGATCACATGAGCCGAGGCAGTCCACACAGTTCCTGAGGGGCAACGAAACACGAAAAAGAAATCAAAAGTTTTAGAAGCTATGGAACAAAGCTAACCAGTTCTTTTCCATTGATCATCGTCGTCATCTCTGCTGCTTGTCCGGAGCAAGACTGCCGGGATCGCGTCGTCCATATGCTTGGCATTGCCATTTTCGAGAGCAGACTCATCGGCTTCTTTCATGCCTCTGGAAAAACAGAAGAACGAACTTCCAAAGGTGTGATCTTTGTCAGTGGAGCAAGAAAAATCAGCAAACATATCCAGACGTGGTGATGGAGGGACAGAGAGAAGGAAAATGCCTGGAGCACAAGCTCCAGTGTGTTGGAGGCCACATATTTATACGTGCCGGAAAGTCATGCAGGCCTCGCGACTCCAATAGAAGGGAGAAGAGTGGCATTGAAATATCGCTCACATGAAGAATTTTCACCGCCACGAGCGCACATTCTTCCACAAAAACCAAGCCTTGGTGATTGTTTGCACTGTGTTGGTCCAAGGTGTTACCACCACCAGCGCACGCAAAGTTGAGAGAAAACCAAATAGAGGACGCCGCCTACCTCTCTTTAAAAGATTGTTCCGCGGCCTTTGCCAGTGATAATGCAAGCCAAGTGATTGAACCGCATCGGAATCTCGCACCTCAGCTTTGCGTAGTTCGATCTTCGGAGAGAAAAAAGAAAAAGGACAAGATGAGGAGAAGGCAAAAGAAAAACAAAGTACCCGGCTGATCACTTGTGACCGGTAAGCTCGTCACGAGTAAGATCCTTTCTCGAGTCTTCTCTAAGGATTATGGGTGGAGGGCGAACTTGCGAAAGTAGTACCTCGGGTTTGTTTTCTTGTGATGCTGTCAAAGTTCAATGGAGCTGGATAGAAGGTGTTTGTATGCTTCTCCAATAATTTCCCCGGAGCCATGTGATCCATGTAATCCCTGTGCTTCCAAACTATCTGTTTCTTTGCGGACATGGGCCGCTCCCGTTTTGTTTTGTTTTCTTGCTTCTCTGTACTCCTCTCGTCCATTACGGCCGCAGATTCCCACGCTCACCAGTAACACCAGCTCAGTCAATACGCTTTCTTTTCTAAAAAGCTCGATTTGAAAGATGATGAACTCATGGTGCAAAGGTTCGCAAAATGGCGGATGGATGCTACAACTCATGCCTTCCCACTTCGTCTCGAACGAGAATCTCATCATGAAACTGTGGGAGAACCGCAGCCGCTGAGAGTCCTCAGACCCTGAAAGATGCAAATGCAGCCCCCCCAGTCACATTATAAACAAGAATACTGGACCGCTTACCGCCGTGTCCTCCATGTCATACTTCACATCGGCAAGGAAGAGGCCCGACGCTGGAGCCATAGGAAGTGCAAGCGAGATTGAACGTCCTTCCAGAATCTTACGAACTGCAATCACGGCCGTCGGCCATTGTTAGCATCTAAGATCTCTGGAAGTTCCACTCACCATCCTCAGCGGTGCGTTTTCCAGCTCCAACACCTTTGAGAGTGCCTACCATCAATCGCACCTTTCTTTCCTCTCGGCGTTAGTAATGCAGAAATACGTAAAATACAGTGTAAGTTTCTATACCTGGTGGTATAGAAACGACTGTGCTCGAGCTGTCACCACGTATGACTTCAGATCTGGATTGGAGCTTTGAGCGTTTGAGGAGCATCCAGTTAGAAGATGCGGCCAGCTGACCGTCTCGCGGATTGAGAGCTCCTCCAAAGTTTTGACCGGAGACGCTGCCTGTGCAACAATTTTGAGTGAGACAGTAAAAGGAAATGAAAAACTATGGATCGAATACTTGGCAACCAGACGCTCTGAAGGAACTAAAATCGTGCGTTCCCAAAAGAACTTGACAGGCACTCTAGAACAAGCCACATATAAGTAGAAAAAAGGTCAAAGAAAAGCATAGAAGCAATGCTTTCACCTGCATTGCTATGAGGTTCAAAGGTTCCTCGACATGCCAGGCACGGTCTCTTTCGAACAGAGAAGCCCGACAGCTTCCGGCGAGGATCCGATAGTAGTACCTGCAAAATCGATGCGGCTACCGAAAGCGTTCTAGTATATGTACGATGATACAACTTACGTGCGTTCTTTCGCGCGGAATCGAGCGTGAAAGTCCGGAGGCACAAATCTAGCATCCACCACCTGAACATCAGCTGACTCCCTCTGCCATCGAGCTTGAATAGAATAAGCAAGCCAATCCAAAAGAGAAAAACCTGTAAGAAATGGTTCACGGCCCGAACAATCACGTCGGGAGGATGAGGAGCCAGCTGCAAACAAGCGAGAGTAAACTACAATCTCCAAAGATGGAGAGAAACGCAACTCACCAATTCACCAGGCTTTCTTTTGCTGGTTCGAGCAAGATCAACATGGAAGACATTCCGAAGAGCATGAACTCCAGCATCCTGGAACACCAATATGAGAAAGCGAAAAAGAAAAGAAGCAAACGACTTACAGTTCTGCTGGAACCAGTGGTCGACACCGATTGACCCATGAAGCTAGAAAACGCATCCTGGCACCACAGCATAGACAAAGCTTCATTTTGTTTTCGCTTTCATGTCTTCTTACCTCGAGCGTTCCCTGCACCGTGCGGACTCCTTCTTGCCTTTGCCATCCGGAGAAGCGAGTGCCAATGTACTCAATGCCCACCAAGTAGCGCTGGATGCCCGGAACATCCATAGCCAGCTTGGGGAGCTTGAGACGTTCTTCCTCTTCTTCCTCGCTAAAACCTCTCTTTGTCATGCTATAAAACACCCTACTTCCTGCTTAAACCATTTAAACTCCTTGCTCGTTCCATGAGCGCGGCGCATTCGATCCTCTCGTGGTCACCGCGCTGGACGCTGCGCGAAGCCAGCACCGTGATCCACGCCACCACGTCGCCACCGCTGGGCATGGCACCGCTCAGCTCCCCCGCGGCCTCCACATCCCCGGACCTCCCGAGAAGATCGATCACGCAGCAGTAGTGCTCCTTCATCGGCGCGATCGCGAGGTCCCATTGCAACGACGCGAAGATCCTCACGCCCTCGTCCACGAGGCCCAGATGGCTGCACGAGTTCATCACGCCCAGCAGCGAGATCGCGTTGGGGGCGATGCCCTCGACGCACATCAGCCGCAGCAGCGCGAGGGACTCGCCGGAGCGCGCCGAGGCCGCAAGAACCGCGTTCCACGACTCGAGATCCGGGCGTGGCATCGCATCGAAGAGGCGCCTCGCCTGGCGTATATGCCCATTCCGGGCATATGCCGCGATGATCGTGCCCCATGAAACCTCCGTCTTCTCGGGCATAGATTCAAAGAGAAACCTCGCCTCTTCGATCAGCAGCTCCCTCGCGTACAAGGATACGATCAGATTCCACGAAACGACACTTCTTCGCGGCATTTGATCGAAGGCGCGTTTCGCTGCCAGAAAATCCCCATTGTGGGTAAGTCCGGCAATGAAAACGTTCCATGCAACCACGTCCTTGTGCGGCATTTTACGAAACAATTCTGCGGCCTCGTCGATCCACAAGGCCTGCGCATACGACGCCAGTAAAACCGTCCACGACACGACAGTCCGATTTGGATGCGCCTCAAACATAAGCCGAGCTTCCTCCAGATGCCCAGATTGGGCATAAACTTGAAGCATTGTCGTCCAAGTCACGGAGTCTTGCCACGGCATGGAATCATACAGATCTTTGGCCAGCTGCATTTTTCCTGCTTGTCCGTAAGCCAAGATCAATGCCGTCCACGACACTTGATTCCACTCAGGCATGACGTCGAACAAAGCCCTCGCCTGCTCTAGATCCCCAGTTCTGGCAAACGCCACCACGACAGAAGTCCACGAGACAAGATCACGAAACTCCATCCGATCGAACAGCAACTTGGCATTGAGCGGAAGATCGCTCCGTGCGTAGAGGGCGATCACCGTGTTCCAGGCGACAACATCCCGCTCGCCATCCGGCATTGCGTCGAAGAGTGCCCTGGCCTCGTCAACATGCCCATTGCGGGCGTACGCCTGGATCATGAGATTCCACGAGAAGGGGTTGCGCTTGCCCTGCATGGACTCAAACACCGCCCGGGCGGCCTCCACGCAGCCGCAGCGTCCATACATCTCCACCACCAAGTTGGCGACGTACAAGCTCGCCCTCTCCGGCGCGATCCCCGAGTGGATCTCCGCGGCTTCCACCAGGCTCTTGCAGGATCTCAGGCGAGATACCAAGGAATCAAAATTAGGCATCTATATGGATCCTTTTTCCTTTTCGAGATCCTATATAAGTTGGAACGTTGCGATTGAGTCTAGGGTTTCACGATGGCACTCCTGATCCACAAGAACGATCACAGCGATGCCATGATCATGCGCAACGGCGGCCTGGCCATTTTCTCCGATGGATCTTACAAGTATGACGGGCCCGGGAATCAGCAGCACGGTGGCTATGGCGTTTACATCCCGAGCCAAGGTGTGTACCAGGCACACGGGCGGCGACCCCAGCAGGACCTAAGGCGCTGCTCCGCCATCACCTTTGAGCTGTTAGGGCTGCTCGAGTCGCTGCAGATGGCGATCATGCTGCAGGAGAAAGGTGGCGGGGTATGCCACCGCGAGGTGTTTGTGTACACGGACAGCTACGATTCGCTGACGCTGCTGGAGATGTACATGGAGAACTCGACGTACCTGTCCAGGCACTCGGACGTGAGCACCATGGAGAGCATTGTCATGTTCGCGGGCATGCTGCCTTGCAACGTCCACTTCTGCAAGGTGAAAGGGCACGACAAGGTTTTGGGCAACGAGGTGGCGGACAAGCTCGCCAAGATCGGCGCGACGCTGCTCGAGGGGCAGCAGCGGAGGTGTACTTTCGTGGGTGATTTGCTGGTGCCCTTGATCCCGCCGGGACAATGCTAATTGCCCGCGCAAACCATCTCCAAATTTTGTACTTAGTTGTTTTCCAATCGAATCGTTTTCTCGCAGAAGTGTGATAGATCTCTTGTCCAAAGTCTTGTTCTCAAATATGATAGATCTTCTGTTCATATCTTGATGGTTTATTCCAATCGAATCGTCTTCTCGCACAAATGTGAAAGATCTCTTGTTCAAAGTCTTGTTCTCAAATATGATAGATCTTCTGTTCATATCTTGATGATATCAGATCTCTTGTTCTTTTGGTTGTGATGGGCGAGCGATGGATTTGCAATCTCTTGGGGTCAAGCACGAACAAGATCGTCTCGCGTCGCTCGTGCGCTCCACGAAAGATTTGGAGCAAGCGAGGCAGCTCCACAGGGAGATCTCGCACGGCGCCCACACCCGCGGCAACACATACCTGGCCAACCTGGTCGTGCAGATGTACGGAGCTTGCGGCGGCCTTTGCGACGCGCGCCTGGCCTTCGAGTCCATCGCCCGTCCGAACATCTTCTCGTGGAGCGCGCTCTTCCAGTGCTACGCGCGCCACGGCCTCCTCCACGAGGCCAAGCGGGTCTTCGACCGGATGCCCGCGTGGGACTCGGTGGTGTGGACGGCGATGATGGGGCTTTATGCGGAGATGGGCTTCTTGCGCGAGGCCGAGGCGATGTTTTCGGATATCCAAGATGCAGATGTTGTAGCGTGGAGTGCGATGATCCAGGCCTACGCTCGGAACGGGCAGCTGGAGTGCGCCGAGGTGCTGTTTGATCGAATGCCGGAGAGGAATCTTGTTGCCTGGAACACCATGCTTGCAGGAAATGCTGCTTCTAGGAATCAGGAGAGAGCGAAAGAACTCTTCGATGCAATGCCGGTCAGGGACGTAATTTCTTGGACGACAATGTTGCAAGCGTTTTCAGTAGGTTTTAATATATCTAAAGTAAAGAATGTGTTTGATTCCATGCCGGAGCTAAGCCTTGTAACCTGGACAGCTCTAGTTGCAGCAAATGCCAAAGTTGGGGATCTTGGTCAGGCACTGCTTTTGCTGGACCTGATGCCTCAGCGAAGCATCGTGCCCTTTAACTGCGTTGTTGCTGGCCTGTGCCAGCACGGATATCTCGATCTCGCGCTGAGCGTCTTTCATTCCATGCCCGAATGGAATCTGGCGTCATGGAACGCGATGATTGGAGCCCGGCTGCTGGATATCTCCGAGATTCCAGAGCTCAACGCATCCTCGTACGCGAATTTGATGGCTTCACATATAAAAACTAACGAATTTTCCAGAGCAGTAGAAGTCTTCGATGCTGCTCCATTTCACAACCTCGTAATGTGGAATCTCACCGTGGCAGCAAATGCCCAAAGTGGTGATTTGTCTCGTGCACTGGAGCTGCTTACCATGATTCCGGAAAAATCCATTGTAACTCACAACGTTGTCCTTGAAAGCCTTGGAAAGATCGGCCATTACGATGGAGCTCTAAAATGTTTCGAAAAAATGCCTGCTAGAGACAGAACATCGTGGAACTCTACACTAGCAGCAGTTACCAAGAGGGGGCATTTTGGCACCGCGATCGATCTCTTCACGCGGATGAGCGTCGAGGGATCCAACCCCGACCCCATGACCATGGCGAGCATTCTGGCAGCGTTTAGCCACCTTGGAGGAGTTTTCCACGCCAGGAGCTGCTTCCATTCGATGGTGGCGGACTTCGGCCTTGGAAGGCCGTCGCTGGAGCACTACTGCTGCATGGTCGACGCTCTCGGACGTGCCGGACGTGTGCACGACGCCAAAGAGCTCCTGGACGTGATGCCGTTCTTCCCGGACGAATTGGCGGCGGGATCACTGGCAGCGGCGGCCAAAGTTCACGAGAGATCGTCGTCGGGGGCGTCAGTGATCGATCAACTGGCACCGGGCTGGTTCACTGAGGAGGTTTTTTCTTGGATCTGAGTCGTCCCAGGAGCGAGGAAGCGCTTGGAACGTCCACCGACGAGTAGAGCTTCCCACCGAAGAGAGGAGGTGCATTGGCTCTCTGCTGCTTGCTCTTCCCGATATCGGCATCGTCGAGAGAGTTCCTCCTGGGACGAGCAGCCTGCGCGGTTTTCTTCTGGAGCAGCTTCCTCTTGCCGTTGCTGCTACTGCTGCCGAGGGGCAATCCCAGAAACGTTTGCTCGGTCTTGATCCGGCGGTGGCGATCCTGGGCCAGGACGTCGGAGCTCACGACCTCGATGTCGTGGACTTTGATCTTGAGTTCCTGGACTCTGGCTTGGAGGCTCTCGAGGGACGTTTCGCCGGAGTCGACAATGATCCTTGTCCGGTCAGCTCGAGCGCTTCCAATCTCGTGCCGGAGAAGCACCACCTTGTCTTCCAGATTGGAGACGACAGATTCCACCGATGAAACGTCTGACAGAAGCTCGCGCACCTGCAAGCATTGATACGAGTGAAACAAAGGAAAGTAAACTTCAGTCAGGCACAATGCATGGAGGAAAGATGCTTGCGATCTAACGATTCAAGAAAACGAAAAACCATGAAAAAGAAGAGGACGCGAACCTCGGCAGGAAGATTGTGCTCAACGTCGTCTAGATTTGAGTCCTCGTCTCCAAATCCCAGCCCGGTTTCCAGTGCCTTGCGGAGGTCAGTTTCATACTTCAACTTTGTCTTCAGTCTCTGGACCTGCGCAGCCAGAGAGTATAAATGCCGAGCTTGAGATCAGCGGAAGAGGAAAAAAAGAGAGGAAAAATCTCCTCGCAGAGCATAGACTCTGATTTACTCACGTCCTTTTCCAGCAAAGAGCGATGCAGCTGTAGTGTGACCAATCTGTCGCCAATGTCCTGCGAAGAAACGAATGAATGAAGAGAAGAAAGTACAGAAGAGAATCGATTTGGGAATTCTTCAAAGGAAGTGTCAAAGTACCTTGCAGAGGAGACTCGCTTTAGAATCCATGCCCGAATTTCTCCTCTTCTCTCTCACTCCACCGACATTGTATGTGGTCCTGCCATTGATAATTGTCGCAGCTTCTCCTGGAATTCAAGACTCTGTAGCTCCCAAAACGAAAGAGAAAAGAATATGAGAGGAAGTCCAAAAGAGAAAGGAGCCAAAAAGGAGAGACGAAACCGAAAAGACGTGGACGGCAGGATTCGAACCTGCGCGGGCAAAGCCCACATGATTTCTAGTCATGCCCGATAACCACTCCGGCACGTCCACCTTCTTGGTAAAGAATGGCAGCACGTCCCTACAAACTAGCCTTTTCTTATGTTACTCCACCAAAGCAAACAAGCTTTCTTGCAAATGGAAAAAAGACTTTACCATCGATGATGCCAACTTTACTTCAGTTCTTAAAGAGAGAACTACAAAATCGCGATTGCTGCAAGGAAAAACCGATCAGCACTGTCGAGAAATCTTACAAAAACCTTACCGTCAAATCGTAGTGGCGAGGAGCGCAGCCTTGGAGCTTCATGTGAAAGGAGAGCAACCGAGCTTCCTCCATTCGCTCGCACCTAGACAGAGCGTCGAGGAGGCTCCAGTAACTCCAAGCATCTGGAGCGCTTCGCCTCTCCAGCTCCCGGAAAACTTCCAAGGCCTCGTCCACTCTCCCCGCGATGCACAGCCACCGGATCAGCGTGTTGAACACCACCACGTCCGGAGCGACGCCTCTGGAGACCATCTCATGAAAAATCTCGAGGGTGACTTCCAGCCCTCCGGCTCTGCAGATCCCGTCCATGAGAATGCTGTACGAGTGGAGATTGGGACTCGTTCCCTGCGACACCATGCTCTCAAAGAGCTCCACCCCGTCGCCCACAGTGTCGAGGCGCTGGCACAGTCCATGGAGGAAAGAGTTGAAGGTGTAGACGTCGGGGCAGAGCCTCCTCTGGAGCAGCTTCTCGAAGTAAAAATACGCTTTTGCCAGCTTTCCTGCTCGGCAGAGGCCGCGGATGATGATGTTGTACGAGACGAGGTTTGGCTCGCAGCCTCGGTCCAGCATCCGGCGGAAGAGCTCCACGGCGGCGGACACGTTACCTTCGCTGCAGAAGCCGTCCATGAGAGCGCTGTAAGTCACCACCGTCGCAACGCAGCCCCTCTCTTCCATCGCTAGGAACGTCGCGTACGCCTCGGCCACTCTCCCGGCTTTGCAAAGGCCGTCGAGAATGATGTTGTACGTCACGGTACTCACGACGGTGCCACTCTGCAGCATTTGCCTGTATACTCGATGGGCCTTCGGGATCATCTTTGCCTTCATGAACCCGTCTATGAGAGCAGCATACGTGACGGCGTCGGGCTCGTAGCCCCGGTTTCTCATCTCGTGAAACCTTTCGCAGCCTTCCTCGACTCTCCCCAGCTTGCAAAGCCCGTCGATGATCGAGGTGTACGTGACAGCATCGGGGATGAAGCCCCTCTCCACAGCTTCCTTGAGCTGCAAGAGCGCTTCGTCCAGCCTGCCTAGCTTGAGAAACCCGTCCACGAGCGAAGTATACGTGAACAAAGTTGGGAAACAGCGTCTCTCGGACATCTTCTTGACGAAAGCGATGGCTTCTTCCGTCCTCTCTGCTTTGCAAAGAGCGGCAACCAGCGGATTGAAGGTAAAGTGAGTGAGATCCAGCGAGTCGTCCAGTTCGTCGAAATAAGCTAACGCGTCTTCGAGATTTCCGGAAGCGCAGAGTTGCCGGATGACAAGGTTGTGGATCACTACGTCGGGTTCCACACCTCTGGCCTTCATATCTTCGACAATCTCGCGAGCCACCTTGACTTCCCCTGCGACGCAGCATCCGGCAAGCACGGTTCTGTACATCACTACATCCGGTTCGCAGATGGTTACTAACACCTCTTTGAGCAGCCTGTACGCCTCGCGGTGCTTTCCAGCCTTGACAAAAATGTGGAGAAGCCCAGCAGACGAAAACCTTGAGTGGCAGCTCTTGCTCCGCTCACCGGCCCATTTGAAAAACATCCAGGCTACTCGGTAGTCTCTCAGCCGCTTCAAAACTTGGGCCACGATCCGGGATGTGAGTTCACCTCTGTAGTCACTCAGTGCACCTCCAACCTCCAAAAACCGACCTTGAGCCTCGAGATCAAGTAAAGTTTTGAGGAGAGCATCAATGCTTTCTTTGTAACCAAACTTCTGCTTGCTGCTTCGTTTCCTGTCTTCTCCGCTGCCTCTTCTAGCACTGTCTCTGTCTGTAAGCTCCTGTCCATTCTCCTCACAAACCACCTGAGACTTCTCTGCAATGGGTTCGCCTCCATGACTTCTTTCCGTGTTACACTGATGATACACTTCACTGGCAGCCGAAATGGAGTAAGGCCACCGCCTAGCCTGAAAGAGAAAGTTCGGGAACCTGATGATCCTTGCTCTTGACCATAGCGCAAAGCTCATGCCATGACCCTCTTCGGAAACCCCTAAACCATAAACCCCCAAGGCGCGCTTCAGTGCTTTGGCAAGGAGTGATTCAAAGCCTGATACGTGAATGCGTCGGGCGCTATCCCTCTGCACGACATCTCCTCGAACAGCCCAAATGCCTCGGTCACCCTCTTGGCCCTGAAGAGACTTCCAATCAGTGTGTTGTAAGTGATGATGTTGGGAGAAATGCCAGCGTCCACCATGCTCTTGAGGAGCTCAAACGCTGCCGCCAAGTTGTGACCCTTGCAGTACCCGTCGATGAGAGCGTTGTAAGAGCACACGTCCCGAGCCACACCCCGGTCATCCATAGCTTGAAAGAACTTCACAGCTTCTTCCAGCCTCCCGGCCTTGCACAGCCCGTCCACGACGATGTTGTAAGTAAAACAATCAGCTTCCATCCCTGCCTCTAGCATCTCTTCGAAGAACTGGCAAGCCTCGTCCGGTTCTCCGCCTTTGAAGATCCCATCGAGCAAGCAGTTGTAAGCGACCAAGTCCTCTGCGTCTTTCACGTCGTCGAAAACCTGTCTAGCCTCGAGTATCCTGCCTGCCTTGCAGAGACCATCGATGAGGCTTGTGTAAGTCACCACGTCTGGAACAGCCGTGGCGTGGTGCTTCCGAGCATTGGCTTCCTTATACAAAGCGTAGGCCTCCTCCGGCTTCCCAGATTTGCACAGGCCTTCTATAAGAGCACCGTAGGCGAGATCGTCGGGAACGTGTCCTTGTTGAACCATCATGTCAAACAAATGCCGAGCCTCGATGATCCTGTCCGCCTTGCAAAACCCGTCAATGAGAATGCTGTAAGTCACTACGGTGGGAACGATACCTTTGGCAAACATCTGACGGTAGTACCAGTGGCCCTTGTCTACCATCCCCGACTTGCAAAGCCCGGCAATGACCGCATTATACGTAACCTCGTCCACGGAAGATCCATACTCGACCAGCTTGTGCAAAACACCGCAAGCATCCGCCACCCTTCCAGACTTGCAAAGTCTGTCAATGACGCCAGTGGAAGTAGCAGGACCGGCAACGCAGCCGTTCTCAACCATCTGGTTTAGATAAACCAAGGCCTCGTCGAGCTTGCCGATCTTGGCGAGACCACTGATGAGAGCCGTGTAGACGAAAGCATCCGGACGGCAGCCATTGCCCAGCATGTCCACGAAGATCCTCCGGGCCTCTTCCACCCTGCCAGCTTTCGAGAGGCCATCGATCACGACGGTGTAAGTTTTGAGCGTCGGCGAGTTCCCCTTCTCGACCATCTGCTCGAGGATAGCCATCGCCTCGTCAAGCCTCCCAGCCTTGAGGAGGCCGTCGACGAGCGCCGTGTAAGTGACCGTCGTTGGCAAGCACTTCTTCTCGTCCATCTTCTTGAGGAGCTGGAAGGCATCGTCTACCCTCTCGGCCTTGCAAAGCCCATCGATGAAAACGTTGTACGTGACATAGTCGGGCTCACACCCGGCTCTTACAGCTCGCTCGAGCACCGAGAAGGCCTCGTCCAGCCTCTTCTCCCGGCAGAGGCCGTTGATCACCACCGTGAAGGCCACCATGTCCGGCGAGCATGGCATCTCGTCCAGCAGCAGCATCGCTCGATCGAGCTGCCCGGTTTTGCACAGCCCATTTAGAAGCGCAGTGCAAACGCGGGTGTCCACCAGTTTGCGATCGATCATCTCGCGGTAGAGACTCCAGGCCTCCTCGATCTGCCGCTGCCTGCACAGGCCGTGGAGCATCGCGGTGTAGAGGCGGCGATCCGGCGGCACCTTGTTTTGCCTCATCTCCCGGAAGAGCTCGAGCGCCTGGTCGGCCTCGCCGATCTTGCAGAACTCCACGATGAGCGTGGCGTAGATCGCCTGGTTGGGCCTGCAAGACGGGGCCAGGAACTCTCGGTAGATTTTGAGCGCCTCCCAGGGCTTGCGCGCCGCGAAGAACACCTCCAGCAGCGCATTGCCGGTGGAATTGGAGTGCCCTACCTTGGAGACAGCCCAGCGAGCGAACTCCCAGGCGATCCCCGGATCCTTCAAGCGCTGCAGCACGGCGGAGACCGTGGATTGCGTGACATTACCCTGGAAATCCTGGAGCGAGGTGCCTACATTCGCCGTCTTCACATTCTCGAGCAGCGCCTGGATCGCCGCCACCTGTGGATCACGATCGCGAACTCTGCTGCTGTAATGCGCGATCTTCCTGGATCCAGGTGCGAGGAAGAATCGCTTGAGCAGCCATGGCATTTGGGGCGACCTAAATGCCAAAACCCCTCAAGAACCCTAATTTGTTTTTATTTTGCCCTTCCCCCCCCCGTTAATTTCGGCGACGCGTGTGGTCTGATCGACACGCGCCTCTCCTGCCGATTTGCATGCTGCATGTCAGCGTCGCATCTAGGCAAGGATATGAGGATGATCCAAGCGATGATCCACTGTGTCTTGCCCTATCTCCATGGCATCGGTCGCAATTGGGGTTTTCCTCGCTGTCCTTGCCGCCATTTGCAATGGCACCTTCACGATCTTCTCCAAGATGGAGGCGGTGAGGAGAGCGCGCGTTGATCCACTCATCTTCAACTTCTGGGCATGGTAAGCTAGCCGATCGATCGAAATTTTTCTTTTTCTAGGAGTTTGCTTTTAGCATTGGAATCGCGGTGACGAGCTTCCTGGCATTGATCTTCGTGCACAAGCTGGTTTTTACTCCTCTGGGACTTCTCAGTGGGCTCTTCTTCGTCGTCTCGGCCGCCAATGCCTACCGAGCTGTGCGATTGATCGGCGTCTCAGGTTTTCCATTCTCGTTTCCAGAGAGCTCATGAGATGTTTTTTGGATTTTCGCAGTTGGCACTGGCATTTGGTGTGGAACCGCTGTTGTTGGTATGTAAACTTAAAACTCCTCGCGATTTTAGCTCAAGTTTGGATTGTTTTTGTCCCAGTTTCTTTCCTCGCTGGCTTGATCTTTGATCCTCACGGGCATGTCCGAAGCTTGGCTTTGGCCATCATAGGCATGTTGATTCTTCTAGCAGGAATTTGTAAGATCGTCGTCCTCCATATTTTCCTTCGGTGCTCACGCTTTTCTTTTTTGGTCAGGCTCTTTGGCCGCAGCTGGACATATGGGCCGCGTAGCGACTGGTCGAGAAGACGAACTAGACACGCTACTCTATCGTCCAGTACGTCAACTAGCTCATGTCTGTGAGTTCTAAGTTCTTGTAAAGAGTGGTGAGGACAGGATTAGCGACAACTTCACTCATGGAGTCATCGCAGCAGTCTTGGCTGGAATTCTGGGAGGTCTAGTCATGGTAAAGGTCAAAGTTCTCACCACAGTTTTGTCCTTTGACTCGTAAAATGCTTTTCTTTTACAAGCTTCCGATGACCAGAGCGAAACACGCAGCTAGAGTAAGCAAGCATTCGATACCTTCTTTGGTATTCCAGGAACTAATGAGAACTTGATTCTCAGGGACTCACCTATCTTCCATCGTTTGCAATCGGAGTTCTCATATTTGCACCCATAGTGACTGTTATTCCATACTTGTCCGCGACCAGCCGAACATGGCCGCCGCTCAATCCGAAAGTTGCTTCTGGACCAGGGCTCGTCTCGGGCCTTATTTGGAACATAGGTGAGGAGTTTTGTTTCACTCCAGGAATCTCGAAGGCTCAATTTTTTCACAGGAAACGCGCTTAGCATCCTGAGCATTCTCTACGTCGGCTACACAGTAGCTTATCCCATGTAAGTTTTCTTTCGATTTTTTTTTTTTTCTAGTTGTAGATAGATAGGATCTAGAGTGTTGTGATCAAATGATCTTCTTTCGATTGATATCTTCGTTTCTTCGCAGAATGCAATGCGGGATCTTCGTCGCTGGTTTGTGGGGTATGTTCCTGTTTGGAGAGATCTCTGGAAACGCTGCTTCGCTCTTCTGGGGATCGGGAGCCATGGTTCTCATAGGAATTGTATTGCTCGCATTGGCCAAGTAAAAATAACATAAAGGAAAAATTTCTTAAAGCCCAATTATTCTTTTGTTAATGCATCGCCTTTTGCATCGGACGGCTGTTCGTGAAGCTTCTAGGGCCTTCGAAGGCTTTCAAAGGGGGCTTTTAACCCTTTTTCCAGTATAAATTAAAACAACGACGAGCTAGGGTTTGTGTCGAGGAGCACAGATCTAGAGCTATGTTTGGGCGCGGGCCAAGGCGGAGCAACGAGACCAAGTATTACGACATCCTTGGCGTCTCCAAGGATGTGTCGCCGGAGGATTTGAAGAAGGCGTACCGGAAGGCCGCCATCAAGAATCACCCGGACAAGGGAGGCGATCCCGAGCAGGTACGGTGCTTTGTTTGCCGGATTTCTCTTTTCTCATGCCTGGGATTGCCGGTGATCCCCAGTTCAAGGAGATTTCGCAAGCGTACGAGGTGTTGAGTGATCCCGAGAAGAAGGAAATCTATGATCAGTATGGCGAGGAGGGTCTCAAGGAGGGCATGGGCGGCCCCAGCGCCGGAAGCCCTTTTGATATCTTCGAGTCGCTCTTCAGTGGTGGTACGTTGTGTGTCTGGTGTGGTTGTTTTGGATTGAAAAGGAAGGAAATTTTCCAGGCGGTGGCAGTAGAGGCGGCAGCCGAAAGAGGAGAGGCGAGGATGTGGTTCATACCTTAAAGGTTTCCCTCGAGGATCTCTACAACGGCACGTCAAAGAAGCTTACATTGTCACGGAACATACTTTGTCCAAGCTGCAAAGGGTATGATCGACATCGTTTGTTCTTGTTCTTAAACTTCCTTTTCTTCAATGCAGAAAGGGCTCGAAGTCTGGGAATTCTTCAAAGTGTACCGGTTGCCGTGGCACTGGAATGAAGATATCTGTCCATCAAATCGGCCCTGGAATGATTCAACAGATGCAGAAAGTTTGCAACGATTGCCGGGGTTCGGGTACGTTTTGCCTTTCTCCTTTTTCCAGTGTGCAGTCTACTCACGCGTTCACACGATTCCAGGAGAGACCATCAACGAGAAAGACAAGTGCCCCCAGTGCAAGGGCAACAAGGTTGTCCTTCAAGAGAAGAAGCTTCTAGAGGTTTTTGTCGAGAAGGGAATGTCTCACAATCAAAAGATTACTTTCCAAGGAGAGGCCGACGAAGCGGTAAGTTAGCTTAGCATGTTTTGGACGATGGGCCCCTGAATGACGAATGTACTGTGCTTTGGCAGCCGGACACAATCACCGGGGACATCATCTTCGTTTTGCAACAGAAGGAGCATCCCAAGTTCAAGAGGAAGGGCGACGATCTCTTTCTGGAGCACAGCCTCTCTTTGCTGGATGCTCTCTGCGGTTTCCAGTTCACCATCACTCACCTCGACGGCAGGCAACTCCTCGTCAAGTCGAGACCGGGCGAGATTATCAAACCAGGTATGCAAATCACTTAGTGTAGCTCTCAGGCTTCTCTAAACGTATGTCTCCTCTCTTTCAGGCCAATTCAAGGCTATCAACGATGAAGGAATGCCTCACCACCAGAGACCCTTCATGAAGGGAACCCTGTACATCCACTTCTCGGTCGACTTCCCCGAGTCTGGGAGCCTCACTCCGGAGCAATGCAAGGCTTTGGAAGCAGTGCTGCCGCCGCGGCCGTCGAGCCAGCTGACGGAGATGGAGCTGGACGAGTGCGAGGAGACTACGCTCCACGACGTGAATCTGGAGGAGGAGATGCGGAAGAAGCAGCAGCAGCAGCAACAGGAAGCGTACGACGAGGACGACGAACCGGCTGGACCAAGAGTCCAGTGCGCTCAGCAGTGAGAAGGATATGATCGAGGTCCCCCGTGATAAAAAAGATTTGAGTCTCTATGTCGTAGAGAACCATTTTGCGAATATACTTCATTTTTTATTTAGTATGATCAATGAAGTTGAGAGACCAACTTGGTCTACTCCGTTGTAGTGTTTTGATTTGTTGTCGTGTTTTGTCACTTAAAAAGAGATTGCGAAGAGACACTTGGGGAGAGCAATGGCTGTTGATGATGGAAGCCCGGAAGTGCTATGGAAGACTAGTAATGCTTCTAGTAGTGATGGTAGGAATAGGAAAGAAGCTTTGGATGGGAGCCCGGAAATGTTATGGAAGACTAATAGTGTTTCTAGTAGAGGTAATAGGAATAGGAAAGAAGCTCTAGATGCCTTCTACGAGCAAATGGCTTGGCAGCAGGATCTCACGCTCAAGGACTTGGTTTTGAGCGAAACTCCGTTGAATCCAGCCCCTGGAGCTCCACCTCCAAAAGATTCAACTCCTCCAGTAGCTCCAATTCGTTCAGCTCCAAATCTTTCTCCAGCTCCAGTTCCAGTTCCAGTGAGTCCTCCCAAGATGGCGACTGTGTACGAGGAAGTGGAGTGTGAGGAGCGGCAATCGCCTCGAAAGAGTTCCACTGTGGGAGAGCTGCTTGGAAATAGAGAGGACTATATTGTGTTGTCTGGGAGATCTAGAGCTCCATCTCGGCCCCGGGTAGTGACAAAGCTATGTGGGGTTTTTACACCTCGGACTCTACCTCGGACTGGGAATCGAAACTTCGACAACAAACGGTGTACCAAGTGTGGGGAGAAGCCACTGTGGTTGAAAACGAGGTGTCTGGTAAGTGTGGCCGTGTGGCCGTGTGTATGTGATGAGATTATCCTTGGATGGAATTCTAGTTTGATCGATGGTTCTTTCTTCCAGGTTTGTGGTAAGCTATATTGTAGGAAGTGCGTGGACAAGGGAATGGGTGACCAGGTGGATGGACCAAAGTGCGTAAAGTGCATTGGCTATAGGCCAAACGAAAGGTCTGGTTATCTGGGAGCTTTGGATCATGAAATTTCTATCATTCTTGTTGCAGATATCTGGAGAAGAAGGCCAGCACTTGGAAACAATCGCTCAAACTCGTCACCCAAAACCTGGGTTCTCTCAAGAAGACGCAACAAATGGCCCCCAAGAACAGCGGCGGTGATCACGGTGGAAACATAAAGACAAGGAAAATCAATGTACGGTGACAAACATTTGGAAATCGATCGCTCTTAGTCAACCGCGCCGTATCAAAGCGGTCGAATATACCCTCATGCATAAGTTAAAAGATCTCATCATCGTGCATCATGCTATAATGCACGCCATGTTGCACGCAGATTCAGACGTGGCAGCTTGCTATTGGTCCATTTGGGGTATGTCCGGGCCCCACGGCCAGCCGTCCACGTGTAACAGATCCGACGGCCCAGGGTTGAGAATCTTTGCGCTTCCCTCCTCCCTCCGAGTGCGTAGTTACTAGTGGTATAGCTAGCCAGAGTATGAGAGAGGAGGGCAATGGACGGTACTTTTGCTGTTCTTGTTGCCCCGGGGCGAGGGCACGGCGGCAGCGAGGAGCAATTCGGTGCGATGGCGCCGTGGTGTTCTTGGCGCGCGGAGTGAGCGCCGCTCGCTGGACCGAGCGTTTTTGGCGATGGATCCATCGGCAGGGTAGGGGTCTAGGTATTTCGGGGTTGCCATTTTTTTAGAGGAGGCAGTGCCTATTCTGGTCGTGGAATGAGTGTAGAGGAATTGCCGGGCTTTTGATTGATCTCCTCCTTGCTCCAGGGAGCGATCGGAGTGAGGAATTTTGGGAAAGGATGCGATGAGTACCATAAAGCTGGGGGCAAATGCCAATCTCTCGGAGGCGAAAGGCCGCTCTTGGTTCGTGGCATTGGGATTTTCGTTTGTGGATGGTCTTGATTTCTCGGGTTTTAGGTGCGTGGCGACGGAGCTACAAAGTGACATCGTGGTGGAGGTGAAAGATGTGAGATTCCATCTTCACAAGGTATTCTTTTCTTGTTTCTTGGGCGATGAAAGCTTACATTGCTTGCAACCAAAGTTTCCACTGCTTTCTAGGAGCGGCCTTCTCAACCGCTTGGTGTTTGAGTCCCGGGACACGCAAAAGAACCGGATACGACTGGACGAAGTTCCCGGCGGCCCCGAGGCGTTCGAGCTGGCAGCAAAGTTCTGCTATGGAATGCCCGTCGACATGGACGCCTCCAACGTGGCGGCGCTGTGGTGTGCCGCGGTTCACCTGGAGATGACGGAGGATCTGGAGGACGGGAACCTCGTGTCCAAGGCCGAGGCTTTTTTCAACACCGTCGTCTTGGGATCGTGGAAGGACTCGGTGACAGTGTTGCTGAGCTGCGGAAAAATTCACGCCTGGGCCGAGAGGCTGATGATCGTCCAGAGGTGCACGGAATCCATAGCATGGAAGGCTTGCACAGATCCGCGGGGTGTCCGGAGTAGTCACGGCAGTAGGATGGGATCGAGAGCTCAGAGCCCGAGCAGGAGGAGCATGGATCTGAGTAGCAGCAACAAACAGGAGCTCATGAAAGAGTGGTGGTTTGACGATCTTCTCAAGCTTCCAGTTGACTATTTCAAAAAGGTGATGGCCGCGGTACGGGTGAAAGGGATGAAGCTGGAGCTGATTGCTGGTGCGGTCGCGCTCTACGCTTTGAGCTGGCTTCCCCGGCGCTCCGAGATCGAGTACGACCAGCATTCGTTTCGAGGCAAAGGAAGGCTTCTCCTGGAACAGGTCCTGAGCATGCTTCCTCGGGGGAAGGACTTGGTTCCCAGCCGGTTTCTCATGCACTTGATCCGGATGGCGCACCTCCTGGAGGCCGACTTGCCTTGCAAGATCGACCTCGAGCAGCGCGCAGGTACGCAGCTGGACAGCGCAGCATTGAGCGACTTGCTCGTGCCGGCGCTCGACGCGAGCAGCTGCTGTGGACTCAAGGTTGACGTTGATCTAGTGCAGAGGCTCGTCGAGCACTTTGTGAGGCAAGACGAGATCGTCACGAGCAACTATGGGAGCGGCAACTCGGTGGTGCTGGATCATCGAGTGAGGGTGGCGACTCTGGTGGACAATTACCTGGCCGAGATCTCGCAGGACAGGAACTTGAGCGTAGCGAGGTTCAAGGCTCTCGCTGAGGCTCTCCCGGACTCTTACCGCGCTTCGCACGATTATCTCTACACCGCCATCAATATCTTCCTCAAGGTGGAGTGCCAGCTCCATAGCTCTTGTGACTTAAGAAAAGCTTGTGACTTTGCAGGTCCATCCGGAGCTCAAGGACGAAGAACGCAAGGATCTGTGCCAGCTTCTGGACTGTAAGCGGCTGTCCCTCCATTCCTCGATGCACGCCGCGCAGAACGAGCGCCTCCCGCTGCGAACCGTGATGCAGATCCTCTTTTTCGAGCACCTCAAGCTCAAGAACAGCAGCCAGGCGAATCAGAAGCTGCCGATGGAGGTTCCCAAGATCGAGGGGGGAGGAACCGCGGCGCTCCAGCAGGAGATCCGGACGATCCGGTGCGAGCTGGAGCAAATGAAGGCCGACTTCTCCGAGTTCCAGAACCACTTCCGGAGCCTCAAGCTCGAGAAACAAAATAGCGATGTCAGGTCCAAGCTTAAGAAATTGGGTGTAAGGATCTACTGACGAGAGGAAGAATATAAAAGAGAAAAACGTTCGTCTCTCATCTCTTTCTTTACGTTCATATCTCCTGGGCATCCACGTAGACATCCCGCTTGTTTCGTTTAAAACAGCTACACGCGCTCTGGGCCGTCAGATTGATCTCCTGCGCCTTGAGAGCCGTCGATCTCTCCCGTTCGCACGTGAAAACCACATGGACTCGAGGCTGCTAGCCGGGAATTTTCGCTGCTAGCTAGCGCTAGGGTTCTTGCGCTGGAGGGAGAGAAAAGGTAATATTTGTCCGCTACCGCTGACGCTACCGAGCATTGTCTCTCGTCTTTGTGGACGTAGGTTTGTGAAATTCCTGCGCCGCCTCGACGATCGAATGCCGAAGGGTGAAACCGCGACGATCGCCGATGATAGCGATCCAGGGAAGAGCAAGAGCTGCCAGGAAGATCCTTCTCTTGCTCCTCCTCCTCGGGATCCTCCTCATCCATCGCCTCCTCTCCCGGCGGTGGCGCTGGCCGATCTGGAGAAGGATCTCTCGTGTCCAGTATGTTTCCAGACGTTGAGAGATCCATTTCTCACGGCTTGCGGACACAGCTTTTGCTACTCGTGTGTTTCGACGCACTTGAACGGGAGGAATAGCTGCCCTTGCTGCTCCAGTTACCTCACCACGAAGCTCATGTATCCCAACGTTCTTCTCGGGAAGGTCTGGAATTTTCTAGAGGTTTCTTAGATTTTTACGAGATTTCATGTCTTTGGCTTGTTATGATCCAGGTCGTGAGAGAGCTCCAGACACTAAAATCTCTGACTCGAGGTTCTCCCACAGAGAACTTACGAGTCGCTCTCCAGCATGTCGGTGGCTGAAGTTTTCTCGTACTGTTTTCACTTTTTCCCACTTTACTTTTGTCCCTTTTGTTTTTACAGGGAGCTCATGATATGTCGCTCAAGGAAATCGACTTTCTGCTCAACCTTCTCTCGGATAGAAAGATGAAGTCACAACACAGAGAGGCCGAGGAGAATATGGATTATTTGCTTGAGTTTTTCCACGAGTTGAAAAGGCGAAAGCAACTTGAACTTGACAAGGTCAGTAAAATTTGATGCTTTTCGAAATAACGATTTGGGCTTTTATTGATCTCTGAATGCAGGTGAAGGAAGATATGAGAGCCTTGAAGAATGACTTGTTGTCGCTGAGACAAGAAAGAAGCCAACTCCAGCAACAGAAGAAATCGTATCTGACAGCATTTTCTGGAGCTAAAATGTCTGCGAGCTCAACGAGCTCTGGAATTTCTCAGAATTCTGTTGCCAAGTTGCTGCAGCCGACTCCTAAAAGAAGGAAAGCCATGGTTCTAATTGAGGTAAAGCGTCAAAGTGTTGTGAAGAACTATTTGATATTTTATACTCCGCCATTTGTTGCAGCAATATGACCTGTTTCGAGAAATCTACATAGACGAGATTAGACGTTGCCAATCCAGAGGCAGTTATGGTTCTGGATTAGACACCTTTCGCTCTGTTGTTTCAGGATTTTGTCGCTATAGGTATGATTTCTCAATGTACCTCAAGGCATTCCAAGAACTGACAATGCTGCAGAAAACTACATGTATTATCGGAAACTCAATCAGGAGGTCTGTCAAATTCCTCAAACATCGTATCTGGGTATGCCGTTGTGCATTTTCTGAAGCTCACATCTCAAGCGCAAGCATTCTGTGCAGCCTCGATTTTGATCCCGGTGACGAGTTCTTTGTAACAGCGAGTGTCTCGGGATATTTGCGGGTGTTCGAGTTTCCGAAGGTAAATATGAGTTTCTTACGAATCTTGCAACCGGGTAGACACAATGGCTTAACATCTGTAGGCTGTGAGATGGTCCCTTGTCGTGTGGAATCCAAGCCTTGAGCTACAGACAGGCAAGAAGCTAAGTTGCGTGAGCTGGGACAAGTTTTCCAAAAGCTGCGTCGCTACTAGCGATTACGACGGCATCATAAAGATCTGGGATATTAGTGCGTGCCAAGTAAGTAAAAGAATGGGGTCCTATCGATCGGCTCTGATATAAAAACCATTTCATTCAGAATACAGTCAATTATGACGAGCACGAAAGGCGGATATGGAGTGTTGATTTCTCGCCAATGGAGCCATCGCGGTTAGTCTCTGGAGGCGACGACGGCAAAGTTAGAAACAATTACTTCTTTTTTTACAGGATGATTTGAGTCAATCAATCTACCTTGCAGGTTAAGCTATGGAGCAAGGAGCTCAAGACGAGTGTCCTGACAGTCGAGGTTAAGGCAAACATTTGCTCAGTGACGTTCAATCCTATCTCGAGTAATTTAGTTGGGGTCCGTTTTTTTTCTCTCATATCTCTCTTCTGTTTTTGCTGTTAACTTCGCTGAAAATTTCAGGCAGGATCAGCGGACCACTGCATTTATTACTACGATTTACGTCAGACAAAGTGCCCCTTGCATTTGTTCAAGGGCCATGAAAAGGCCGTCTCGTACGTCAAGTTTACGCCATCAAACGAGATGGTTTCCGCCTCTACTGACGGAACGCTTCGGCTATGGAGCCTCGAAAGCTGGAATACCGTAAGCATCAATGAGATCTGATCAACGCGACGCTGATATATAATCATCTCAGACACTGATGTTTCGCGATTATCTTCTTGCAGCTCCAGGTGTATAGAGGTCATACGAACGAAAAGAACTTTGTCGGGCTGTCTGTCACTTCTGATTACATCGCCTGTGGGAGCGAGACAAACGAGGTCTATGTTTACCACAAGGTAAGCCCGGTTTTTAGAGCTGCATTGTCAAGACGAAGTAGAACAAATCTCAATGGTGATGTTTCAGGGGATTCCAAAGCCGGCACTCAGCCATTTATTTGCGAGAAAGGACGCAGCTGACGATGATACACGACCGTTTGTCAGCGCCGTCTGCTGGAGGAGGAGTGATAGCCACACCATGCTGGCGGCAAGCAGCCAGGGGGAGATCAGAGCTCTCATGCTGGCGTCTTGAGACGAAGAAGAAGAGGGGCGCGAGAGAAGCTCACTTTCGAGCTTTAAAAGCTCGTTAAAGGCGCGAGTATGGAGTACCAGGTTCGCCAGTTTATCTCTTTCCATCTATCTCAAAGCGGTACGCTGTCTAACAGGAAATCACATCTGAGATGGCTTTCTTTTTTATCCTGTGGCGAGAGAGTTTAAAGTACGTCCCGGCAGCAACATAGGTACGTGATGCCAGGCCCAGCAAAGTGCTAAAGCCTAGATCTCCTCTTTTTCTTTCGTGGCAAGTGTCCCAGGAACATATGAAAAGTGGAGGCTTTTAAGCACTCCACGGACCAAGCGATCCCCTCGTGAACGCAAGGTACCTTGAAAATCTCCTTGATTCGTTACCACTTTCTTCTCTTATTTATTTTCTCCCCAGGATGGAACAATCGCGATCCCGTGATCAAGCCAGAAAGATTGAAAAGGCCAAAAGTTGGAGCTCCGCTCCATGGATGGAGCAATGCCACTCTTTTATATCGTACGGACGAAGGAATGGTGATTAGCCAGAAAAATATCTCGAGCCACATGACAAAAACGGTGGAATATTCGTCGCCCTCTCTCTCTCTCTCTCTCTCTCTCTCTCCCATTTTTCTCTCTCGCCATGCAAGACGAAGAGGCGGAGGAAGAAGGGAAAGAATGGCGGCCCAGCTGGGCAGGGCGGCGCTTTCGGGCGATTCGCGGAGGAAGGAAGCGGCCAGCGAAATGGTATGGCCGCCGCGCCGCTGCTGCTGCTAGCGATGGATTGATTGAGCGAGTGATTGATTGATTGCAATGTGGGCTTCCTGGCGCTCCCTGGCTGCCTGGCCGCTGCGTAATTTCTCGTCGCTTGGGCGGTAGCGATCGAAAGGGTGGGCGATGGGCAGCGTCAGATAGAATTAGGTCTCTTTCTCTTTGCGATAGCGTTTTTCCTTTTCTCTCTGGGCCTTTGGAAGCATTTTTCCTTGTTTGCTTGTGTGGTGTGTGTGTGTTTTTTGTTTTTTTTTTTTTGTTTTCTCCTCTTGCCTTGCGTGTCTTTAGACTCTGCGTTCTTACACTCTGTGCGTGTGGCATTGAGAATTTTTGTCCATTTGTTTGGTACTTCCTGTTCTTCCGTTCTGCTGTGCACGGGGTTCTTAAATTCTTTGGCTCCACACATCTTTGGTTGCCGTGATTTTAGCGAACTTCTTCTCGTTTGAAAAAAAAAAGAAGAGCTTTGTTTTCTTGTTTCTATCGACCTCATGCTTACTTGCGATGTGTTTAACTCGGACTTTTCCTTTTTGCTGTGTCCAGGAGCATTACGGAACTTAGATGATGAGTAGTGGGCATTCCAGTGGTGTCCAGACTCAGCTCGAGAATTACGGAGGTTAGTACATTGTAGGCTAGAGTACATATAGTGGGCCGGATGGCATAGGATAGAATTCTAGGCTCGTGGATCTGGAGGCTCCCGGATTGTTTTTTTTTCTCCAGTTTCCTCTCGGACTGGAGATTTGAGCAGGGGGGTGTCTAGAATGTAGATTCTACAGGAAACTAGGGGCTAGAGTTTGTCTCGTGATATTCCATGCCGCAGCAGGCTTCGCAAACTGCAAAGCCGCTTCCTTCTCCTTCTTCCTCACAAGTGCCAGCTCCGTCTCAGGTACTGCTTCTTTCTGATTTCCTCGAGCTGCTTCGGCCTTTTCATTGATCGGATTCAGCAAAGCGGACGAATTCCATTCTGATATTCGTGAATTTTGATTGGTGTAGTCTCCATCGCCTGCACAGCAGCAGCAGCAGCAAGTACCGCACGAAGCCTCGCAGCAAACTCAGCAGGCGAATGCTCCAGCTGGAACTGAGAGCTCACCTTCTTCTGCTGCAAACCAAAGTACCGAGGGAAGAAAAATCTCATGCGAAGACATACAATTGGTAGGGACGATCACTTTTGCCCGTGTAATGGTTCTGATGGAACTTTCAGGTACAAAACCTCATTGAAAGGTGCCTTCAGCTGTACATGAATCAAACCGAGGTTATCAACACTCTCTTGAACCAAGCAAAGATCGAGCCTGGTTTTACAAGCCTCGGTACGTCAATGCTTTATTCAATTCTTTCTATTTCCTGCCGCAAATCACGCGCTCTATAATTGTTTCAGTTTGGCAAAAGCTAGAAGAACAAAATCCAGATTTTTTCAAGGCTTACTACGCCAGGCTCAAGCTGAAGAAGCACATCATGACTTTCAATCATTTGCTCGAGCAGCAGGTCCATCTGATGCAAAAGATGCGAATTATTCCAACAAAAGTTCCAATGCCGCATCCCAGCAATGGCATGCACCACGCAAGTAAGCCTCTGGGTTGAATTGAAGCTGGTCACTGACGTATACTTTCGTTGCAAACTTGAAGTGGGACAGGTGCCGATGGGGTATCCAGTTCCTCCACTGACTGGTGATATGCCCGCTCCACCAATGCCTATAGTAACCGGTGGCAATCCACTAGCTGAGAACTTTCACGAAAGCCCAGGATCCAGGTAGCTTTCGGGTTTAAGAATCCTAGCAAGTCGTTTGATACGTTTCTTTCTTGCAGTGCAATGGATTCAATCATGCAAACAGGTGATATTCCCGGTTCGGGAGGTGCCAACGGCGCAAACTTCCCGTTTGGAGGCATTACTGATATGTCCGGGATGGTTTTGGACACGCCGTTTGTGTCGCATGAGCCTCACTCTCACGAGCACAACTCTCAGAATGGGATTGTGTCGTTTGACGGTGGAGAAGAAGATGGCCACAACTCAAGGGAGTCGCTTGGAACGCTTGGCCATCTTCCGAGGAACTTTAGCTTGTCGGATCTCGCCGCGGAGCTGGGAGCGAGTTCTGGTACGTAGATATGTTTCTTTTCTCCTCGGTTTTGAGGTGCGCTGTTGATCCAGATCTAGGAGCGCTTGGAGGCTACTCTTCCCCGTTCATGAGCCCCGAGACTGAGTCATATTTGCAATCTCCCGACAAGCACGATATCGGTGAGCTCCAGCCTCGACCTTTCTCTTTCGTTCCTAAACTCGTTTGCCTGTGCAGCAAATTGCGTCTTTTCAGAGGATGACAAGCTACTGGATAGTTTGGACTTTGGAGATTTGAAGTAGCCGACGTGTTGCTCCGATTGCGGACGACCACCAAGTAGATGATTTGATGTGCGATTTTTTTGTGCCAGAGCGATTGAGAACCAGGACCAGAGGTCGGTTTTTTTTTCGCATTTTGGCATTCCCAACTTTCCAAAGAGGTCAAATCCTTACGTCGCAAAGTTGTCATGGTTTTATTCTTTGTCCTCGTTTTATTCTGTTGGATACCATCGCCTGGAGACTGATGCCTAGAGGTCGCGTGACTGCCGTCTGCAGGCCATTTTTTCCTTTTTT